ACCTGGTGTACGTCCCACGCAGGGCTGTGCACAGCCGCGTCCCCCTGCACACCCCCGGCCTGAGCCCTGGCCTCCCCTCCCACACCCCTGTCCCGCATGTGCTCCTGGCACCCCAGGACCCCCGTGCCCCCTTCGCCTGCGATGCCCGGGCACCGTTGCCTGCATGCAGGTGCAGGCAGGGCCAGCGAGGCCCCTGCACCCTGCCTGGCACAGCACTGAGCCAGCCCTGGTCTCCCCAGCATGGCCTACATCCTGCACCAGTCCCCTGCTGGCCACGGCCACGGCCCAGGGGGCTACGAGCAGCTGGAGAGCACCGGGGGCTGCCTGCCCAGCCATACCCCCCTGCCTGGCAGCACCAGCGTCCGTGCGGCCTTCATCCACGTGGTGGGTGACCTGCTGCAGAGCGTCGGGGTCCTCGTGGCTGCCACCATCATCTACTTCAAGGTGCCTGGGCTGGACTCCCCTCCGCTGCCCGCAGGAACGACTCCCTCAGCCCCGCGCAGGGTGCCGTGGGGCGCTGGGGCCCTGGCACCCCCACACCGGGGTGCCCGGCTCGGCTCTGCCCCCGCCAGCCTCACACAGATCCTGCTCTCTGCAGCCCCAGTACAAGATCGCAGACCCCATCAGCACCCTCTTCTTCTCGGTCTTCGTCCTCGGCTCCACCTTCACCATCCTCAGGGACGTCTTCAGAGTCCTCATGGAAGGTGAGTGGGGGGCGAGGAGGGTGCGGGACCACGGGCACAGGGGGGCTTGCAGGAGCTCCTCAGGGCCGCAGCCCCTTCCCCACGTGGCACCTCAGCCCCTCGCAACCTCTGCTGCCCACCCAGCCACAACCCAGCCCACTCCTCTCTCCTTCCCGAGCGCCCCCAGCCCATCCTCTCCGCCCCCGGCAAGCGGCCCCGTGGCGAGAGGTTGCCTCACCCTGGAGCCACCATCCCCAGCCGGGTCACAGCCTGGGGAAGCCCCCACCCCTGGCTGCTCCCACCGCAAGCCCTGACCCCAGCAGGGGCTGGGGGCCCAGGGCTGGCGCCCCCGTGACCAGGCGCCACCGGCAGGGACGCCGCGGGGCCTCGAGTTTGATGCAGTGAAGGAGGTGCTGCTGGGGGTGAGCGGGGTGAAGGGCGCCCACGACCTGCACCTCTGGGCCCTGACACCGAGTCACCATGCGGTGTCGGCGCACGTGGCTGTCGGTGAGTGCCCCGCGTGCAGCCCCCGGCCCCCGGCCCAGGAGGAAGCCCCTGGCTGCCCACGCACTGCGGCTGAGCCGCGCTGCCCTGCCATCCCCAGACGCCAGTGTCGACCCCGAGACGGTGCTGCGGGAAGCCAGCACCCAGCTGCAGAGCAAGTTCGGCTTCGCCTCGTGCACGGTGCAGGTGGAGCGGTACCGGGAGGAGATGGCAGCCTGCCAGCACTGCCTGGACCCCCGTGCCTGAGACCCTCGCCCGCTGCAGAGCTGGGTCAGGCCTGGCCCCGGCCCCCCACCCCACTCCTGGGAGCAGGGAGTGCAGGACAGGAGCTGGGGCAGTGCCTGGGCTCCTGTCCCTGCGCTGCACCCACCCCACTGCTGCGGAGCCCTGGGGTGGGACCGCGCCCCTGAGCGTGCCGGGCGCGGGGGGACGCAGGTAGCCTGGCCCCGCAGCACAGGAGCTGCCCCGGGAACCTCCAGCCCCAGCTGTGCCGGGAGGGAAGCAGCCCTGCCACAGCCTCAGGCACGCTGGGACCAGCCCCGAAGGAGCAGGGGGATCCTGCCCCACCACCGCACGTCCCCCCACCCCGTGCCCCGCTGTCCCCCGCAGGAGAGGGGACAGGAGGGGACCGCTGCAGCTGCTGAAGGGCCCAGGGAAGGGAGGGGACAGCGCCGGGGGGGAGCCCAAACCCGGCCATGGCCCCAGATGCTCCTGTGCCCCCATGGCCACAGGGGCTGCCCCACTGCCCCCGCGGCCATGGGCTTGCTGCTCCCTGGGCTGGGGGGGGGCCAGGGAGGCTGCTGCCACTGCACCCACCGGGGCGCAGGGCGACAGCGCAGCCAGAGCCTGAGCACCGGCTTCCCTGGCACTGCTCCCTGCTGCCCAGCCCAGGCCAGGCCTGCATCCTGCCATGCCATGGCCAGATCCATTCCCACCATTGTGAGTCCGTGTCTGTTGCACCTGTGGAGTGTCTGTCTGTCCGTCTCTTTGTGCAAGGAGTCCAGCAGGCAGTGGCAGAGCCTGCAGCCACCAATAAACTTGTTGGAGAGCAGCAGCAGCGGCACAGGCAGCCCCGAGGGGACTGGGGAGGGGGGACGGCCCTGGCGCCCCACGAGGGGCAGAGCGCAGCCAGGGCAGTGCCGCAGACACGGCCGCCCCAGGCACCGGTGCCTGTGCCGGGGGCCTGGTGCCAGCACCACAACCAGCCTTTACAAAACAAACCACATTTACTGCACAGTTGAACACAGGCTCAATGTGAGCGACTTCAGAGCTCCTGGCACCTCTGCCAGCCTCGTCCGCCCTGCCCAGGACAAGGCTGGCCCCAGCGCCCCTGCCTGCACCCGCACAGGGGGCTCAGCCGGGGACCGCGGGCAGGAGGCAAGAGCAAGCACAGCCCCACACAGGTGGGGGCCCGCGGGCGCTTCCGCAGCATCAGGCCCCAAGACCCACAGCCCAACCCAGGGACACACACCAGTCCCACTGCCCTCCCCGCACCCGCTCAGACCAAACAGCGCAAAAGGATCGAACGAGGACAAGCGTCCTGAGCGTTCCAGGTGACGGCCAGGAGCAGCCATCCCTCCCCCGAGGTGGGGGCCCAGAGGGTAAGAAGCACCGAGAGGGGGCATGCAGCCTGTCCCTGGCCCGAGGCTCCTGCCAGGACGAGCGCATGTGGTGGCAGCACGAGGGATCCACTGTGCTATTCTGCCGGCAGCGGGGAGCGCTCGGCGGGGCTGGGGCTGCCGGGCTTGTCCCCGTAGAGGGAGCTGAAGCGGGCACGGCGCTCCGGGAGCAGCTGGCAGCCCATGCCGGAGGCCAGCCCCACCACGCAGTG